TTGTCTTTTTTAAATTCCATTCGTCACTTCCTCAGTTCCTCTTTGTCCCCACATCTAGAAATCCATTTATTTTCTATCAGCAGCACTCTTAGCTTAGGCTCACCCAGGGTTTTCTTTTTGAGAAAAGCTTTTTTTAAAGTCTTTGTGGAGGGCAAAGTGTCCTCTATGCAATGGTGTTTGTGTCTGAGACAATCTGTCAATGCCCCATCTCATATGAAAGAGTAAAGAGAAAGTTATGTTTGTCATTCGATTCACCGCTTCTCTCTCGCGCTCTCAGGGCGATCTGAAGGATTTTATTGAAGCAGTGCCTCAGTTCAATCCTCACTGGACCTGATCTAAAGTCACTGCATTTCATTTATTTTCTGTTTTTAAATTGGGCCACAAAAAGACACAAAAAGCTCTTCTTGGAAAGATTTTATATTTACATTAATTTTAAGATTATCAGCTTCCTTATACAACCAGCCCCAACATGTGTGCATTTTAAATACAAACTATAAAATAACATTGAACCACTGAAGGCTCATGGGATCATCAACATGTTTATGTATGTGTGACTTTTTTATATTGCATCTTTTCTTCTGGATAAGTTGTGCTATACTCTCCAGGGTCAACATAAGGAGGATTCCATATTAACATGGCATTGGTGATTTAATAAGAGACTTCTAATGTGACCTAATGACACAGCTGTGGTTATGATAAAACAGCAGGGAGACACAGCAGGCTCTTATGTAGTCTTTCATTCAACAGAGCGAGCAGCTCTTCTTTAACCCCGGGGATCCATTAACTAAAACTGAAGTCATGACACTGATGTCTGTTGTTCTTTTAGACTTGTACACTCTTCTACAGAGCTTTAAATCAAACAATAGTTAGAATAACATCATATAGTTTCCTCTATGTCTTCAACTGTCCTATGCAAAAAAAGGCAAAAAACTCCAAAGATATTAAATAAACACACTCTCACCAGTGCAGTATCTCACTTTTTCTCCCCTGACAGATACACAACTTGTTTATACTGAAGAGTGGGTGAAGTCTGCCTGATTATGCAATGTTGCTCGACCTTATGAAAAACCCTCAATTCATCACTTTCATATGCAAATGCGACGAAATGAATGATTAATGCAGCTGCTGGAATGATCTGTTTTCACAGATTAAATTCTAGTCTGAAACAAACACTCATTTTCAATAAACAAATAATTCATGACTGTAATTACCCGCCAACTCTGTCTGTCCTGTTTGAAATAGCGTTATATCTGCTGAAAAAAACACTATGCATCATCAAAGACTTAAAGCAGAAATATATAGGAATTTGGTTTGTCACCCACAAAAGGTCTAGTACATCACAAGAAGAACAGAGTGCTCTTAACACCTCCCCATCATCAAAAACAAAGCGGCAACCGCCAGTGTTGAAAAATGAAGCCGATGCAGTGGTGCAAAATCCTGCAGTTCATCGAGTGTCCACTAGAGGCTGGCTGCAGGAACACAGGAAGTCACATACACACCACATTTAAAAAACAACCTGTTTTTACAGCACACACATTTGGAGCACCACAGCATCAAATATACATTTTTAAAAAGTCTCTTGTTGGAGCAATTTCACGAGGCGCTCATCACCTCTGATGGATCGCTCTACCTGGTCAGTTCCTTCCACCTTCAAAAGACTTGGGTTGCCGATATGGCAAATTTGGAATTTGCGGGCCATGGGGTAAATCCAGAGGAGATCCTATAGTCGGTTGGGGCCCTAGGCCGAAAATTAATTGGGGGCCCCTCCAACCAGCATTCATCACCCCCTACTGGCCTCAGGGTAAATCTACATCATTAATCCTTCTGGCACATTTCTGTTCTTCCACCATGCCTTTCAAACAGCCTCCTTTTTCTTTTGTGACAAATACAATTAATCTCAAATCTTTGAATTTAACATTTAATCACTGAAGGCTCAGTTATATTATTAACATTTGTATGCACTTTACGTAAATGACTGTTCTCCCGTGGTGTCCTCTCTAACCCGCACACAGAATAGTCATTGCCCTTTTATGACCACGGATAAATACCCTGTAATTATCGCCATTTTAACATGGCTTTGCACATGAAAAATAATATAAAATGAGGTCTTAAGCATTATAATGCTTTTGTCTGCAGCCTGTCATTTTACAGAGCGAGCAGCCCCTCTTTAACGCCTGTGATCCATTAACTAAAACTGAAGTCATGACACTGATGAGGCGTTGAAAATGAATGTCTGCTGTTCTTTTTAACATATCAGACTTGTACACTATACCAAAGAGTTTTAAATCAAGGCAGCAGAAGATTAAAGCCTTTCAAAAAACCACCCACTGATTCTATCAAAATGAAAGACAGACACAAATTGGAGCCAAAACAAAAGAGAAGTGAAGAAAACTTCAACCTCTCTATATCACCTCCCAGCCCAGCTGATTGTCATCAGTCGTTAGCTGTAAGAACATCACAGGTGCGGTCAATAGCTCCTGATGAGCGAGGAAACCTGTGACCTCTTTCAATGGGAATCTATCCACAACATATAGGCTTGAAAAAACCTTCATGTGACGTCACATGGCTTCATGCGTTCTGTGTCTCAACTTCCCCATACAGAAGAAACTTTAAAGGAAGAAAGTGAGACTTTTTGATCCAGTAGATGTCGCCCTTGAGCACCAGCATCAAACCAAAACAAACTGCTGTTTGGCCACGCCTCTTCCATACTGAAGCCTCCGCTTCCCTCCAGAAACACACCTCCAACCCCCCCTCCACTCGCATGAAGTGGTTATCAATAAGAACACACCATAATTAAGCATCATTGAAGAGCCCATATTATGCCCTTTTTGGGGTTTGTATATTTAATCTATGTACCTACTAAAGTATCTTCACAATAGTTAAAGTTATAAAAAAGTGTCTGTTTTCATGAACTGCCGCTCCATGCACCGGCTCGCTTCTGACTCTCTCTCTAAGGCTCTGAAGCGCCCACGTTCAGAGTCCCCACGTGTGCCAAGTCTGGTCTGATTGGTCGGCCTGTCACCTCTGCCGTAATTGGTCAGTTGCTCAGCACGGTTCTCGGAAATGTCACGCCCCTTTTACCATATTTGGAATGCAGCCACTTTGGCTCCGAGGGGGAGCATAAACATTAGCACCTTAGCACTACTGTGCTACTGCAGGCTACAGCATATCGTGGGCGTGCTACAGAAGTTAATGGGCGTGCAACATGAGCTGCTGGGCTTACCACAACGAGCCAATGGGCTTAGATCAGTGATCGCACACTGACAAGACGTCACACTGGCAAATTTTTTTCGAGGGGGGCTAAAACCGAGCGTTACATGCGGCTAATGCTACAGCTAACAGGAGGACGTAGGAGAAGCTGCGTTTCCGCGGACTTTGAATTTTTGCACATAGATGTGACTAAACATGCACAGGACACATGGAAAACACACTAAAAAGCAGATAAAACCAGAAAAAGCATAATATAGGACCTTTAAGAGCAAGAGGCGGACAAAATTGTTCTTGGCTCAAGCTGCAATCACCTGTGTCCTGCATTGTTGTGTTAGCATGCTAATGTTAGCGTTCTTTAGTTAGCTCGTAGCTTCACATTGAACATGAAGCGACACAGAATGAGCGTGATCTAAAGAGACTTATGTGACATCCAAATAATCAGTGAGTATGTTCTTCTTGACTAAAACAGCTTTTGTACACAAGGGGAGGAGCCGGCCGTCCCGTCTACGTAAACACGACTCTGACAACAACACAGCCAGCGGGACTCGAGCTTCTCACTCATTGTAGACAGTCATGACTCAGAGAGACATTTACACAGGAGATGTTTAAATTTCTGTTGTAGTAATGTAAACATTCTTCCTTTAAACATGACATTTTAAATATTAACACTGCAGATATCAAACAAAGGGAGGAATGTTCACTACAATCTTTTCTACATTTGTAAAATAAATAGTTGACCCTCTCCCTGAAATAGTTCTGAGGATGGAAAATGTGTTCTACATGAAATCACGAGGCAGACAGTTGTTCAATACAAATCTAACCTTTAATTTTTTACAGAACACACATTAAGTTATTCATCATTAAATAGACAGTCCAGACACAGAGAGGGACAGAGAGAGAAAGAATCCCAGTTTGTTTTGGTCAACATTTAGACAAAGTGGCACGTTCAGACTCGAAGCTTTTCCTCTCTCGCTTCTGTACAGGCTGTGGTTTGATAAGCTTATACATTCTAGGTGTAATCCAGTCAGAGCTTTTGTTGCATTCCTACAAATAGAAGTACAACACTTGACCACCTCACCCTAGAATTGCTGTTCTGGAGGCTCTTGAAACTGAGGGCCTCATTCACTTAATAGATTGCGGTCGCTAATATTGTGCATCATTTGCTCCGGTTATCTGCTCCATCTCATGATCAAATACATAAAGCGTATAGCTCTGATGATATTCAGGCGCAAACATGCCCAACATGTGTCCTGCTCCATGTTTTTGCTCTTGGATTGCATCTGAATGTGGAGAAAATATCTCTGCAATTTTACTCTGCATAGCGCTCTGATCTCGTGCCAGCTGTTTTTAAAGTAAACAATCGTGAGGGGACAGAAGGTATGTTTCCACTCTGTGTAATGACCAGCTCACTGTACACATAGAATAGAATAAATCTTTATTATGAGCCGAAAGTGGAAATTTCCATTAAATTCCCCCGATGCATATACTGTAGCAACATTTAAAAAACAATCAACAGTCAATGTCACAGACAAAGCAGCTATGTTCAAACATCAAACACCAGTCAACGTCATGGCTTCTCATCAGTCATGTTGAAAGTTTAACAATCTTTTTTGCACTTTATAATAAAATAAATTACTTATAAAAGGTCACATATCATGTAAAATACTCTTCACCGGGTTTTTCTTACATCAGTGTGTGTCTCTAGTCCGTTTACAAACCCCCCCAAATGATGAGAAAAGTCCGTCCTCTCTGTCTTCTGCCTGCTCCACTTTTCAGAAAATGTGAGCTCAAACAGGCCGTTTAGGGATTTTCCCTTCATGACATCACAAAGGGCAGTAACCCCTCCCCCCAGGTGACCCCACTAACATTACAGCTGACAAGATCGTCATCGCTACAATGTCTGTGCAAGTATTTATACAAAAAAATGTTTAGGGCTCACAGCTCGTTTCATGCATCTTTTCAATGATCCCGTTTTGAAAGCTCTCGGCAGCACCACCTGCTGGAGGCTTCAGCATCACACGACAACATGGGGAACTGTATTGTCAACAACAACAGCAAACAGCAGCTGGGTGTACCGTGTGGGTGCACATATATTTTTAACGTGCAGTGATATGTGTCACCCAGCTGTACTTCATGTCAATCACAGTCTCCTTATATTCAGCCTTACTCGAGTGTTGATGTGGATGCATGAACCACAGTACTCAATATTCCTATTTTTTAAAGTAACCAGAAGTTTGCTCCTTTCCTGATGAATATTTCCCCTTAAAAAAATATCAACAACAATGCTTATCAGACTCTTTGAGTACTGGGTGCTTTGGTCTAAATGTTTTCCCTACAAATGGTTGAAAGTTCAGTAGTTTTTTTTTTACCTTGACCCATCATGTAAAGTCCTAAATTAGATTGTATACACACAAAATATAAAGCAGATTCAACACAGTCAATGTAAAGACATATAATCACTTAGTGATAGTACTCAAAATCAGTCTTGGTCTCAAGAGAGTGACAAACCCCCTACACACAAGATGACTTTTTGATTTTTTACTGATATTTATGGTCTTGTCTCGGTCTCCTCCTGCCTTGGTCTTTGTCTAGTCCTGGTCTTGGAGCACTGTGGTCTCGGGAATGTATTTGTCTCGGTTAGTGTGGTCAGAAATATATGTATGTTTCCTCTCTTATCGTGTGTTTGTACTCAAGCCATGAAATAGTATGTTTTTATTTTTAACTGACTAGGAGGAAAACTAAATGAAGAAGAGTTCATGGTGCATTTTGTGCACTAGAAGCAAATGACTTGAGTGACCAGGCTGTGCAACCCGCCCACACCACTGTTCTGACCGATACGGCAATAAGCTGACGGGAACAATTCCATCGTCAAAGTCAATTCAGGTGAAGGCGTTTGCCTCTGGTTAGGCGATACTGTATTCCATCTCCAAAGGGTAAATGATAAAAGTTGAAGTAGAGAATAAGGACGTGTGTCCACTAACGGCGGTTCTTGTGCTGTCAGCGCGCACAACCTCAGTTTCAGAACACTTCTCACCTGACAATCAGTGTTGCTGTAGGTTATGAAAATTAACCTCCATTCCCTCGGTAATGACAGTCAGGTCAGTTTTAGATAGCCCTGCGTGCTTAATATTTGCTTTTTATTCAAAGAACTGTCACCAAAGAACATGATAGGAATGTCAAGGTCCTGGCATTAGCAGCGGCTCCACACCTGGAAATTAGAGAGTCGAAAAGATGAGTCAGACGAGCCTCTCCTCCGCCATTGTTGTTGTCAAAGCTGATATCAGAAGCCCCGCCCCTTCTTGATTTTGATTGGTCAGTGAGGAAGAGGCGTCATCGATGAGCGTGGCAGCTTCGAGCACATCGACAAAGACAGCCGAGGGTGTTTTTTGTTTTGTTTTGCTGTGTGCGCTGCACAGCTACACAGCTTTGGTTTCGTATTGAAGCGGTTATATTCATTCTGGATAGTATTGACAGGTAGCGTTAATATCTGAGGACCTGCACAACCAACGCTCCAAACCACCGCAGGATGCACAAAGCTGATGTCGTGCGGCCGTGTTTACTTACAGACCTTATCAGTTCAAAATGGTTTTTTTTTCTGACAAAACATGGCACAAGGAACAAGTTGTAAACACAAGAAGTACAGTTGAATGATTTTTAGATATGTACACTGAAACAAAAATATAAAATCTGTTTTACACTTTTCTTAGCTGCATAACACATACAAACTCATATCAGAGTAAATAACGGTATCTTATCGTTTGAACAGATTTAATCTACGCCTTAGGGATGGTTCTTTGAGCTCCCAGTGTATGAAAATACGACTTTTTGAGCTGATGTGCAGACATAAGGCAATCATACCTAAACACTTTGCATTGTCTTATTGTTCCATTCAAAGAGCTGATCAGATATAGAATAAGCAGGGCTGATTATTTCCATTCTTCTTCTCTGGTTATCATTCACTGTGGGGCCACATTGGATGGTAACATCTCCCCTGACGCCGGCTCCTGCTGAGCCCCTTCAGAAATCATCCTCACGCTCACACTTCCACCATCCGTCGTGCTCGGGTTCACGCGGAACTTTCTGTTGATTGGCCGAACCGCCCTGTAGAGCCGCCTCTTAAACGTCTCACTGAGGATGATGTAGAGGAATGGGTTGATGCAGCTGTTAGCATAGCCCATGCTAATGGCTATGTTGTAGGCATAGGAGAAGGCTAGGCTTGGCTTCTGCACGCCGAGGTGGACCAGCTGGAGGATGTAGTAAGGGGCCCAGCAGATGAAGAACGCCAGGCAGATGGCCACCGCCATCCGGGTCACCTTCCTGGTTCGGACCCTCAGACTCCGGGGAGGCAGCGGGGCCACGCTGGTGGACATGTGCTGCAGGATCTTGAAGAACACCAGGCAGATGATGGCCAGCGGAATAGCAAACGCCAAGAAGAACTGGTAGAGTGTAAACCAGTATATGTCGGTGACCGGGTTGGGCAGGAGGAGAGCGCAGGCGACCATGTCGTCGGGGAGAGTCATCAGGCCGGCGTACATCCACACGGGAATGATGGTGAGCAAAGACAGACCCCACACCAAGCCGATCACCAGCGCCGCCACACAAGGTGTGCGGATGTAGTTGAAGCGGATGGGATGGACCGTAGCCAGGTAACGATCGAGTGTCATCGCAGTGAGGATGTAAGTGCTCACAATCTGGCTGTTGGAGTCGAGCGCGGTGATGACTGTGCACATAGCAGCTCCAAAGTGCCAGGTGCCATTGCCCAGCAACTGGTGGATGAGGAACGGCATCCCGAGGAGAAACAGGAGATCGATGAGCGATAAGTTCAAGATGAATATGTCTGGAACTGTTTGTTTGGCCCGGCATTTGGTCTTCTTCATGATGGTGTAAATGACAATACAGTTCCCCATGATGCCCAGAAAGCAGATGATGCCAGAGATGACGTGCAGGATGGAGCTGCAGTATAGAGTTCCATCTACAACTGGAGACAAGAAGTACAAGGACACACATTGAATGATGGCTTACTGTATTGTACATTGTGTGCTGGTATGAAATCAACATTTTTTTTTCATTTTGCACATCTTGTAATGCAGTCTTTATGTCACAAAGCAATGTCCAGAGCAGCAGGGAACGAACAATACAAGTTGCTATTAGGGGATAATTATTATTATTGATTATTAGAGACGCTTTGACATTTCTGCATCTGGCTTTTAGGCTGCATCACTCTAGGAACGATTGATAGTTTGTGTGTGTATCTGTGTGTGTGTGTGTGTGTGTGTGTGTGTGTGTGTGTGTGTGTGTGTGTGTGTGTGTGTGTGTGTGTGTGTGTGTGTGTGTGTGTGTGTGTGTGTGTGTGTGTGTGGGGGGGGGGGGGTGTATTTGTTTTTTGGCTCTTGCAGCACAAAGGATGACTGGAGCAAAATATCTGGGATTATTATTGATGAGCAAAATTATCTGTAAAAGGATTTTTTTAAATGAAGCTTTGCCCTTCATGTTTTAAATGTTTGATCAAATAAAGCTGCATCCATGACCTTAGGAGAAATACTATTAATTATTATTATTAATATTAATATTGAACGAGTGGCACAGTCTGATTTGATATGATTTAAAAATAAATAGAAATCTTTGAGTATTTAGAAAAGCGCTATATAAATCTAATTTATTATTATTATTATTATTATTAATATTCATATTTCATTATGCTCGTCAACATATAAGGAAGTTAATGGATTTAACTGCAGGCTGAATTTAGGGGAACACGGATTTGAGCATTAAAAAAAACACTCCTTGCATTAGATTTTTATTTAGATTCAGATCGCAGTGGTGTTGAGCAACCTGGTAGATAAGACTGGACCACGTTACAGTCCGCTGTTTACTCGACCTACCTGTTGTTGTTGTTGTTGTTGAATTAGAGTCTATGAGAGAAAAATTGGAGAGGTTTAAATAATCCATCTGGAAAAAGTAAATCCAAGTTAAGAAGTATTCACAAGTGCCTGAGTCGGAAGCAAAATGCACAAAGAAAGAGCCCGAAACGAGAAAAACCTTCTTAATCTCTGGGTGATGCTTAAACTTGAAACAGTTTAATTCATCGCAGAAGAGGCATCGTGTTTGATTCCTCTGCGTCCCTCCTGATGATGATTAAAACCTCTGTTCACGAGGATCGGGAGCCACTGAGAGCATCCTCAGTCGGAGTCCGTCAGGCTCTCGTTTGAGTTGCGACTGCTCTGCAGGTGTCAGTCAAGCTGCTGAAGTTGGTTAGTTGATCGATCTCTTGATGATCGAGTGAGTGTGTGTGTGCGTAAAAGCGCACGCCTGGGCACGTTGGATCAAAATATATGAACCTATAATATAGTCTCCAGCCAAGGTTGATAGAATCGTATCCGCACCGAGTAGATTAATAAAACACAAATGAGGGGGAAAAGGGAGAGAAAATGTGCCTACAGCACTCGGAGTGAAGATTGTGAGTAATCGTCCTTTTTACCGCGGGATATAAGATTAAAGAGAATTTCCAGTCTTATTTAATTTTCGAAGTTGTCCATCCTCATCGCATTAATAAACGATCTCTGAAGGACGCGGTGATCGCTGGTTTATTGGCTTACAGGGAGCAGATAATTGGCAACAGGTGTTTCCGCTTAGAAATAAAGGAATCAACCCACGACCTTCCTCGCGCATTACTGTCAGAGTTATATCTCCTGAAAAGCGTTTTTGTTTTCAACCACAAGATGGCTCTGCTGCGCGTCATTTAGACTCCAAACACGTCTCCTTCATAAAAATGTGATTTACCTAATGAGCTTAAAGAAGGTTTGAGGGTCAAAATAACACTTTTTCTGAAGTAGCCCAAGGCGTTAAATACAATATAGCCTATTATTAGTAATGAGGAAGGGTATGGAAGCACATAATAAAGTGTTATAGCTTTGAGCAGGGTCAATTTTAATAAAGGATTTAATGACTAAAGATGGAGGCAACATGTCTCCCATTTTGAGGGGAATCTTTGAAAAGGCAACTCATTTCAGAGGCAGGTCATCCTGACATCTTGGAAGACAGGAAGAAGAAGCACAGTTAAAGAGCCTGACAAAAATGAATAGAAACGTCAAAACAAAGAGAAAAATGAGTGTATGTTGTGTTTATGAGCATTGCATGATGGGTATTTTGTCATTGGACAAAGTGCCTCTAAGTGCAGCGGTGCCGTCCTTTGTATCCAAACTGCAATTTCTACCTCTGCCATTTCTCCTCAGATAAACCCAAGCCGGTCTCTAGTCTCCAGCAGCGGTTATAATAGACTTCCACGCTCCTCTTGGGAGTCTTTGTTTCCTGATTCCTGAAGATAAATTCTAAAGAAAATATGTCATCTCGCTCTCCCATCCCAGAGCTCACAGTTTCAGTGTTTGTGTTTATCCATCATATACAGTCGCTGCCTGAGCCCACAGTAATATCGTCTGATTCCTAAAATATTAGATTGAAAGCGTGGGAAAATGTGACATTTCCACAATATAAAAGCCTTATTCACAGGTATCAGTATCAAACAGACGCTGACATTCTCATGCGGGGAAATCTTTCTAAGCATCTTTAGACTGAAGCATCCTGGAGTAAAGTTCAGAGGAAGCTGATTAATCTGCTTCTTCGTTCCTCTTCCTCCATATGAGGCCCAACTTTTCAAACCCTCTGAATTGTTGGAATCGGCACTTTTACTTTTCTTTCTTCTGCTCGAGCATGTCGCCTCCGGACTGCATGTCGCCTCCGGACTGCATGTCGCCGAGAGAAAGCCTCGATGCTGCTCAAAGGGAGGAACCGACATCAGGATAACTGCAAGACAAAACATCGCTTAACATTAATGGAGCTTAGCATTAGTGTTGAAGTCAAGACCACAATTACCGAGACCAGATCGAGACAAGACCAAGACATTTAGGGGTCGAGTCCGCGCCAAGACCAAGACCAAGGCAGGACAAGACTGAGCCAAGACCAAGACCAAGACCAAGACCAAGGCAGGTGAAGACTGAGCCAAGACCAAGACCAAGACCAAGGCAGGTGAAGACTGAGCCAAGACCAAGGCCAAGACCAAGACCAAGACCAAGACCAAGACCAAGACCAAGACCAAGACCAAGACCAAGACCAAGACAGGTGAAGACTGAGCCAAGACCAAGACCAAGATCAAGACCAAGACCAAGACCAAGACCAAGACCAAGACCAAGACCAAGGCAGGACAAGACTGAGCCAAGACCAAGACCAAGACCAAGACCAAGACCAAGACAGGACAAGACTGAGCCAAGACCAAGACCAAGACCAAGACCAAGACCAAGACCAAGACCAAGACCAAGGCAGGACAAGACAAGACTGAGCCAAGACCAAGAACAAGGCAGGACAAGACCAAGCCAAGACCAAGACCGAGACCGAGACCGAGACCAAGACCAAGACCAAGACCAAGACCAAGACCAAGACCAAGACCAAGGCAGGTGAAGACTGAGCTAAGACTAAGACCAAGACCAAGACCAAGACCAAGACCAAGACCAAGGCAGGTGAAGACTGAGCTAAGACCAAGACCAAGACCAAGACCAAGACCAAGACCAAGACCAAGGCAGGACAAGACAAGACTGAGCCAAGACCAAGACCAAGACCAAGACCAAGACCAAGACCAAGACCAAGACCAAGACCAAGACCAAGGCAGGACAAGACAAGACTGAGCCAAGACCAAGACCAAGACCAAGGCAGGACAAGACAAGACTGAGCCAAGACCAAGACCAAGACCAAGACCAAGACCAAGACCAAGACCAAGACCAAGACCAAGGCAGGACAAGACTGAGCCAAGACCAAGACCAAGACCAAGCCAAGACCAAGACCAAGACCAAGACCGAGACCGAGACCGAGACCGAGATCGAGACCGAGACCAAGACCAAGACCAAGACCAAGACCAAGACCAAGGCAGGTGAAGACTGAGCTAAGACTAAGATCAAGACCAAGAACAAGGCAGGTGAAGACTGAGCCAAGACCAAGGCCGAGACCAAGACCAAGACCAAGACCAAGACCAAGACCAAGACCAAGACCAAGACCAAGGCAGGTGAAGACTGAGCTAAGACCAAGACCAAGACCAAGACCAAGGCAGGACAAGACTGAGCCAAGACCAAGACCAAGACCAAGACCAAGACAGGACAAGACTGAGCCAAGACCAAGACCAAGACCAAGACCAAGACCAAGACCAAGACCAAGACCAAGACCAAGACCAAGACCAAGACCAAGGCAGGACAAGACAAGACTGAGCCAAGACCAAGAACAAGGCAGGACAAGACCAAGACCAAGACCAAGACCGAGACCGAGATCGAGACCAAGACCAAGACCAAGACCAAGGCAGGTGAAGACTGAGCTAAGACCAAGACCAAGACCAAGACCAAGGCAGGACAAGACTGAGCCAAGACCAAGACCAAGACCAAGACCAAGACCAAGACCAAGACCAAGACCAAGACCAAGACCAAGGCAGGACAAGACAAGACTGAGCCAAGACCAAGAACAAGGCAGGACAAGACCAAGACCAAGACCGAGACCGAGATCGAGACCAAGACCAAGACCAAGACCAAGACCAAGACCAAGACCAAGACCAAGGCAGGTGAAGACTGAGCTAAGACTAAGACCAAGACCAAGACCAAGACCAAGACCAAGACCAAGACCAAGACCAAGGCAGGTGAAGACTGAGCTAAGACTAAGACCAAGACCAAGACCAAGACCAAGACAAGACAAGACCAAGACCAAGGCAGGTGAAGACTGAGCTAAGACCAAGACCAAGACCAAGACCAAGACCAAGACCAAGACCAAGACCAAGACCAAGACCAAGACCAAGACCAAGACCAAGGCAGGACAAGACTGAGCCAAGACCAAGACCAAGACCAAGACCAAGACCAAGACCAAGACCAAGGCAGGACAAGACTGAGCTAAGACCAAGACCAAGACCAAGACCAAGACCAAGACCAAGACCAAGGCAGGTGAAGACTGAGCTAAGACCAAGACCAAGACCAAGAATATCACTGAAAAATGATCATCAGGTGTACAGATTAATTGAGGTTTTTCTTCTTGATGATGTAGCTGATCAGTGGTGGTCTTGACCGGCCTCCATTTAAAATCTGGAGTCCACCAAGTCCGAGACTAGACCGAGTAAAAATGCTTTAGATTCTGAGATGACACTTTCCAAAAACATTCCTAACCACGAGTTCAAACAGGAACAATATCTCTCATGCTTCACAAACTATATGATGCGCTTTATTCTGACAGACTGTCTCAACTAAAACCTTGAGACTAAGATTAGTGAGAAAGATTTCTTTAGGGTCTCGGTACGTTTCACACCCGTCGCCTCGCAGTTCCGGGATATTCAGTCCCTCATACGATCCAAACCCTTTATTTCCAGTGCGTAACAAGATATCCAATCTCCTCTCACATCTCAAATAATCTGTCTGAAATCTTGACAATCCACAAATTAAGAGTTCAGCCACACAAAAAGCTTGTTATGGCTCTTGGCCACATGATAAAGAAAACACTAATCAGAAAACCTGGTGTGTCATGCGTAGTTTAGTTTGTGCAATGAAGGATAACGTTTGAGCCAATCAATGCAAGAGAAGAAGGGGAAAAAATATTGTTGACTTTAATGAGGGCAGAAAAAAAGAAAATCACCATGAAAAATCTGAAGCAATGTGTTCTTTGAGAATAAAAATGCCTCCAATAATCAGCAGAACACCTGGGAGCTGTTTTCCAATCGAACATTTCCTTTTATTTTTAACGACTGGCTGCAGGGATGTCATCATACAGATTCCTCCCTGCGGAGGTTTTCTGTTCAAGTCCCGTTGGCAAAAGAATGAAGAGCACACCAGTGATGTGCTGATTTACATAATCATGTCATTTGAGCTCGGACTACTCTGCTGTGCATGCAGTGTGGTTTATGGATCAGTTCAATACACCAATTATTTTTTCACTTCTACTTTCATTTCCTTTTGATGTTGTCCTGCACGTCTCAGTGTCAATCCAGCCTCCATATGTTTACTTCAGCTGATCCAGGGGTCAGGTAGGAGAGGCAGGAGGCTAAGGAAGTCAAGACAGACATCCCTCTCCCCCAGGGAATATATTCCCTCCAGCGAGCTCTGGATCTCCACTGGGACGTGCATGATGAGCTCCAAAGGTGGGGTGTGGGGGGGGCCGTCTGAACCACCTCTAATTGGCTCCTTTCAATGCAACAGGAAATGGCTCTTCTCTTCTCTGAGCTCCCTCCGGGTGTCCGAGCTCCTTTTCATCTCTCTGAAGCTGACCACATGACACCCTCCTGAGAAAAACTAATTTGGACCGCCTGTATCCAACATCTCATTCTTTCGGTCAATACCAGAAATTATTTGTGAGGAAATTAGTGTTTTGATCTAGTGAATGGAGAAAAAAGATGTGTGCAAGCTGTGGATACATCCATGCATCCTTCACTTGTATCCTTTCCTTGTGTCTATATTTCTATCAACTCGTCTGATTTTGGATTTCTGTGCGATGGATGGGGGGAATGATCAGTGAGGAACGTCTGTAGTAAAGACTGGCTCAGTTTAATCAGCAGCATACTTTTATATATTAATTATAACCCCTAAAGCAAGCCCAGCTA